ACCATTGACCTCGCATCCCTACAAAGCCGGGACGGAGCACGCCGGGGTTTCCATTGACCAGGCTCTCACATCACCAAGCGCGAAGCGCCGTGAGATATTCGGCGAGTCGCATGAAGGGTGCGCTGCATCCTGCTAAGGGTGTTCGGCATCTTGTGCTTACTTCCTTGCGTACGGATGACAGCTGCGTATGACTTAATTTACTTTCTGGTGCTTTCACTTCCAGAGACAGTTGTAAGCACTGTGTAACTGCCTCGAGGGTGCTTGACCATTTTAACACAACGTGGTGCGATCATCCCCCTTGCGCGGAGTGAGGGTTCTCGACCCAGCACAACATGATCTACTCGACCACCATTAGTGTGGTTACCGCCAAAAAATAAAACCAGAGGTGAAACAAAAACGGTAACCTGGTTGCCGAGTTCACGAAGTGAATTGGCTTGTTTTACAACGTCGTTGCCAAGCGACGAAACCCCAACCCCGATGGTAAACACCGGGGGGGGCGGCTTGTTTTACAACGTCGTTGCCAAGCGACGAAACCCCAACCCCGATGGTAAACACCGGGGGGGCGGCTTGTTTTACAACGTTGTTGCCAAGGGACGAAAACCCAACCCCGATGGTAAACACCGGGGGGGAGGCTTCCCCACGGTGTAGCGTTGGAACCCCCCCCTCCCCCCCCCCCGTGTGGATGACAGGTGTAGAAGTGCTGTAACCATTGTTGTTGTACATACATACAAAAGTAGGACCAAGATACGATCCGAACGGAAAATCTTCCTGATGGTTGATCAGCAAGAGGCCCAACTATGGATGCGTCCCTCTTAGCCCCACCTGCGGAGCTTGGGAATCCGAGACCCTCGGTGTGATCTTCCTCGCCCCTTCGGCGGGACTCTCTCTTTTGTCTGTCTTCTGAGACCCTCTCCCGCTAAATCTCAACGAAGAGAACTGCCAGCCCTTAGCAGTGGGTAAGACTACTGCGACCTGGGCTCCCCCCAACGAGGGAATCCTGTGTCCTTATTGGCATCGACGAACTACAAGATACTCTGTTGGTACTGGAGGTAGAGGTGAGAGATGGCGGAAAAATCAGCCGTTCAACGTGCTCGCGACAAGGCGGACGCGGCATTTAGGCAAAGAGGCACGAGGAGCAGCATCGCCGCCTTGCGGCGGAACACGAGATAGAACAGCTAAAGCAACGACTCGCCGCTCATCGCTCGAAAACCCCGCCGGCACGTGGGACACCGCCGGAACGCATGCCTGCTTCGCGCCCTTCGGGTGGTAGCAGCCCTCCGGAGGAAACGTCCGATGACCCCAAATTTCCAATTGCGTTGTGAATTCCACCTCGAAACGGGTACCACATGTTCCCCCTCGGGTGAACAACCACCCTGTGTAAGAAATTACAACGGACCCAGCCGCTGATGCACATTCTGTATCATCAGCGATATTTTTGCAAGAGCACCCCACACTAAAAAATACAAAGCTTTGTCCAGTACCACCTGGAGCGATAGAACTAAAAAGTGCTGACGGGTCACCTCTTGGAATTTTGGGATACCTACGGTTCAGTCTCACACTACGTGATACTAAGTATTACGTTACCAGTAGAAGCATTGATTTTACCGAAGCTGGGTCCAGATATCATGTTGCTCGATAACAGCATCATGAATGCCTTTGGCGCAATTTTAGACTGGTGTGGGGAAAGACTTTCTTTCAAGAATTCTGTGCTGAAAATACCCGCAACCCACCGTCGACCACGGGAGGGATCAAACATATCAACATGACAGTGCATCAGCACAAATTTCAGTTGTGACACTTGACCCGTCCCAAGGAGCCAGTATAGCTTTGTAGGGAGTACTGCATTCCTCCGAAACATGAAACGACCCTTGACGCTGTGACTAGCCACGCCCCAAAGGAAACCACTCCTCCTGCAGTCGTTAAGCCACGACGTATCGCTGCCGACGATCTTGAATCATCTGATGATACCCCTCAAGCATTCCGCCGCATCGTTGTCGCGCGAACAGTCTGTAACTGGTCGGCAATTGACAAGACACCGGTGGTCCAGATAGCTAACCATTCTGTTAGACATGTTCATCTGGACCGGGATGCTATTCTAGGGTGTATTTCTCCAGTTAAGACGCTGTCTGCAAAAACGATTAGCGCCGTCAACGATGATCATCAGACCTTTGGGAAAAGAGAGACTAGACAAGGCGATGAAGAAAGCGTTCNCAACAATGCTCACAAGTTCTCGAATTGTGTGCCCGTTACAGGAATGTGTTTTCCCTATCGCCGAACGAACTGGGGAAGTGCACCTTGACCGAAGCAGAGTTTCCGCTCGAGCCCGGTACAAAACCAGTTCATCGGGTACCGCACCGTGCAAACCCACAAGCACAAGAAGTTATCGATAATTGTACAGCACACAGATGGAAGCTGATGATATCATTGACCAGTGACCTAGTTCACGGGGATCGGCAGTCACTATTGTAGCAAAAGCCGACGGAACCCCTCGTTTCTGTGTGGGTTATCGAGGTACCATATAAAATTATGGCCAATGCCCGATATCAATGCCCACACTGATACAATCAGTAGGTGGGGCAAAGTTTATCACTGTGTGTGACGTACAGGGCGCGTACCACCAGATACCTGTTGCAGCAGCGAGAGAAGACCGCCTTTGTAACTCAAAAAGAAAATGGGTTTTTAAACGCCTCCCTTTTGGAATTGCGAACGCCCCGTTTTTATTTGCTCGCATGATGTCATTAGCATTTGCACATTATGGACCCCGAAATGGCCTCCTCGTTTACATGGATGACATCATTTGCTGTAGTTCGACTGGGGAAAGTCATATAACGTTGTTAGAAAATACATTCCAAGCCCTTCAAGCCGCTGGGTTCACATTACAACCTTCCTCTGTTTCTTACTCTCCATCTTTCTAGATCGGTCGATGTTTGCCAATATGAGGAAGTGGTCGGTCGAACCTATATCGGCTTCGGGTGCGGGACAGCTACCAGTGTGTGTGGCGGGGACGCGTGTGTAGAAACACACGTGTCCCCGTCAGGTCAAGGTATTCGGGGAAGATCCACGCAAAGATTGTGCATATCCTGCACGGGTCGGGCTACACGGGCTTTGCAGCAGCTGAAAACCGCAGGCAGCAGCTGAGGAAACGACAACAAGCACAGTGGGGGGGAAGCAGACACAGAAACGACAGCATAGACAGCATCGACCGGAGTGCGGTGGTGGCACGTGTGCACAGACACACACAGGGTGGTTCCTGTCCTGTCGACGTGCTTGCTTTGCGGAAGATCCAGAGTTGATCGGAGATTGTGTGAAAAAGTCGGCCTGGAAGGTTTCCGAGGAAGAAGAGTTCAGGCACCGAGAGAGGAAAATCCGCGGGGAGAAGCGTGGAGAGATATCTTGGAGAAGGGAAACATAAGAGGTAGCAGTGAAGGGACTGGTAGAGGTGAGAGCTTGTTGAAGTCGGTTTGGATCCATTGCGGCGATGATCCACTGATCGTAGAGCGTACAAGTCGGATCCGCCGCAAATTGCCCACGGCGGAGGACGCAGCAGCAGCAGCAGCAGTAGCAGTAGTAGCAGCAGCAGCGGCAGCGGCAGAGGCAGCCGCACATACCGACGAGAGGGCAACATCGGAACACGTGTGCGCGACACACACACGTGGTCCCGGAGACACGTTTTAGAGCGATCCAAACAAAGGCTCGATCGGAGATCCTGCAGCCTCGCTTCTGGAAGAGTCAGCGGCAGGAGCAGCTCAGCGTGGTGAGAGGAAGACCAGGGGACAGGCAGCAGCATCAGCGGCAGCGGGAGGAAGCAACAGTCAAAGGGGCCGAGGAGAAGGCAGCTTCGAGACACGCGTGCTGGGAGCACACACACACGTGGAGGCCCAAACGGAACTGTGCTCGCGACCCCGTGATCGATCGGAGATCGAGCGAGGCGGTCGCTAGGTCCAGCAGCAGCAGACGGAGCCGAGGTACCGAGAGCAGGATTGGGTGCAAAGAGCGTCTAGAAGATCTCTGAAACCTGAACAGAAGATTGACAGACGTCAATGGAATGGCAGATCATTACTGAGTAGAAGCCTTTGAACGTACGTCGGCGGCATGGACATGTTCCGCGCGCAGTTGTTGTCGTTGACTGTTTTGGCGTCTTCCGTAGGAGTGCGACGAGAAAGGACCCTGGCTCTTGCGGTTTCAGGTGGCGGGGAAGTAGGAACAGGGGGTGGCAGTGTCGGGGGTCTGGGGGAACATGGGCTTGAGTGGGGGGTG